CAACAACACTTATACTCATATGTATATAATTATCGTAAAACACTTACTAGGGTGTTATTAAGTTAATCTTTCTCACACGTACACCTGCACTTACCCTTTTATCTTTTCTGTTGATGAAAAAGTATAATGAAGGAAGAAATCGTCATCAACTATGAAGTCGAAAAGGCAAATGTACTTTGTATGTTTTTACAAGTTTTAATTTGACTCTTTGACGTGGAAGGTTTCCTAGATCGCAGCTCCTGAGGTGAACTAAAATCTAACCCACCTGATTCTGGGATCAAGGTAATCCCGCAAAATGAAATCATGTGCAGCCGCACAAGCCGCAGAAAAAGACGCAATTAGCTGAAATAAAAGAAAAATTAACAAAAATGTATACATTCTTGAGGTGCCAGAAAGTTACCATCAAGAAGTTGAATCATTTTTATACTTTTTTCTTTTATTTCTTTTATAACTATGCAATAAACTATCATATTAATGTTCTTCAAAATATATTATTCCGTGCGTGGAGTCCGACTCATTTTCTTAGTACTCGGGAGTTTGCCTCATTCTGCGTGCCCAGAACCCCTTCGTCTTGTGTGCTTGGGTTCGCCTTGTTCTGCATGTGAGGTGTCCACATCGTTTTACGTGCCAGAAGCACGCCTATTTTTGCGTCTATGGAGCCCGCGTCGTTTTGGCGTGCACAGAGCCAACTTCGTTTTCCATGCACATGGCTAGCTTCGATTTGTGCGGCGTATCCAGTGTTGTTTTTTGTGCGCGAAGATCACCTCGTTTTGCATGCCAGAAACACACCCCGTTTTCTATGAGCAGAGCCTGTCTTGTTTCGCATGCCATGGTTTGCCTCGTTTTGCATGCGTCAAGCCCTCACACCCATGTGTTTTGAAAAAAAATGCAAGTTTTTTATTTTTGCAAAATATTTTTCCTAAGCATTAAGTTTAACTTTTTAAGGAATTTGGAAGCAATTTTACAGTTTATTGAGCAACAAATGTATATTTAGTAGAATATTTAAGCCGAAAACTAAAAAAAAAGTGGAAAACATAGTAGTGAGGCCCAGAATATTGTCAAATGGGGTAATACACTCAAGAATCTCAACGGAAAGTCTCACCTTAATTTTCAAAACTTCACAATGAGGCGAAGGTGAAAATAAATAGATTGAACGGTGATTTATGTACGAATTTGCAAATCATACTGAAAACCGTGAGATTCACGTTTTTTGTAAAAAATACAAATTTTTTATTTTCTCAAGATATTTTCCATGAGCATTGAGGAAACCTCTATAATGTCTTTGGAAGCAGATCTACGATTTATTGAGCAACAAATGTATATTTAGTATAATATTTAACCCGAAAAGATAAAAAAATAAGTGAAAAATATAGAGATGTTAAAATGTATATTTAGTGTATATCTTTAAAAATCACATGTAGGTAAGGGTTAAACAAAAAGTGGCAAAAGTTTGTTTTGCTAAATAGTGTTTCACCCTCTTTTGGTTGACAAATAGGGTTCTATTAATATGTAGTTTAGATTTAGATAAAAGAAAAATTAAAAAAAAAGGGTTCAAATGTCATTAAACTTTGGTTTTAAATTGTTGATTACAAGTGTTTAAATACGAATTATAATAAATTTTGCACGGAAAAATATACTTTGAAGAACATGAATATGCTAGTTGTTGTAGTGGTAAGAGAAATAAAAGAAAAATTAACAAAAATGTACAAATTCTTGGGGGTGCCACAAAGTCACGCACCCTTATTTTTTGACGAGACAAAGAGAATGGTACCCTTTTCGCAGGCTAACTCGCCGTGGTTTGGTCGCACAACGGCTCGAAAGTGGCTAACCATTTTCGAGTAAGCCACTTTCGAGTAGTTTTTTGGCCAAACCATGGCGATTTAGCAGTCAAGAAAGATACCATTATCTTCTTCTCGTCGAGAAGTATGATTTTCGTTTTGAATCACTCGATTTGGTTGAGTATTGCAGAAGTTATGAACGTTTAAAGTTTACCCAGTTTCTGGCGAGTTTTCCAGTTTTCCCGTGGACCAATCACCTTTCAGGCCATCTCCAGCAATCATTGAGTTTCCAAATAGGTATAATCTTGTTCAACACTTTCTTATCTTCATTTTGATATATTATGGGTCGAATTTGGTTAAGAATCGATTGAGTTAAAGTTATTATTAGCAGAATAAAATGTTTCTTAAAAGTTTATTAATGAACTTGTCGAAAATTAGAAATATATCATATATATTTGTGACAAAGCAACAAAAAAATGTCAGTTCTCCATAAATGTACATGTGGCTAAATAAAAGAAGCTCTCTGTTATTCTGGGAATATAAGCAAAGTGCGGCCTTGGGAAATACTTGGGGTTAAAGGCTGATTTTGAATTTTTGAAAAAAAAAAAGGTGTTTGATGACCTATGTAATAGAATAGGTGACTCATCAACAACGGGAAAGAAATTCTTATTTAAAAAGAAATTATATACACTAAAATATAATGTTTAATAGCGCTCAAAACATTAAGCCAAATCATACATTGTGACATTAAGCCTCAAAACATTCTTCTAGACGACTCTTTCACTGCAAAAAATTCTGACTTTGGATTGGCCAAGCTTTTGGGAACGGACCAAACTCGAACTACTACTCAAATCAGGGGAACCAAAGGTTATGTAGCCCCTGAATGGTTCAAAAACATGCCTATCACAGTGAAGGTGGATGTTTACAGCTATGGCATTTTGTTACTAGAAATTATTTGTTGCAGGAAGAATTTTGAAGAACATACGGATGATGTAGATCAGCTGATACTAGCTTATTGCGCATATGATTGCTATATGCAAAAGGAGCTGCCTTTGCTATTGGAGAAGGACGACGAAGCGATGGAACACGTCAAGATGATGGAGAACTACGTGATGATCGCAATGTGGTGCATTCAGGAGGACCCGTCGCTGAGACCGACGATGAAGAAAGTCACACAGATGCTTGAAGGAACTGTTGAAGTCTCAGTTCCACCTAATCCGTCGTCATTTTTTAGTTCAATAGTTTAAGTGGTTGTTTCTTTGTTATTTGATCATCGAAAACTCAAAATCTTGAACTTTGTAGTTCATAATTCAGATCGTCATTCATAATTTTTGTTGAAAAAATAATTGTACAAGACCGTTGATATTCCATCATATTTGCGCATTCAATAGCATACATTTGCCATCCAAGTTAATTTCCTTTAAAGCAACACAACAACAAAAGTGAAAACATGCTTGGGAAATTTATAAATTTTCTTTACTTTCCTGTCTAGAAAGTTGAATATAGGCAAGGAACCTAGTCACTCTACTTGCAAAGTGAAGTACTGAAATGAAAGGTAAATAAAGGCAAGGAACCTAGTCACTATAGATGCACAACGCTAACACAACTACAATTGAAGCCCCACATATCTAACGATTCCTGTCAACCTATAAAACTAGTACTGCACTGTGAGAATGGTGCACCGGGTAAATAAAACTCGGATAAGCTGCGAAACTGAAGTAGTAGTATCCCATGTATCTAACGATTCATGTCAACCTCTTTTAAACTACATTTCACCGATACGAGACTCTTTTACCTTCACTATCTCACACGTCACCTCACGTATGACGAATTTTCAAGCCATAAATGTGGACAACACAAATTAGGTGCCGTCGAGCACATGCATCCCTTAGGCTTTACACGTAGGCCAACCTACTCTGATACCATGAAGATCGTTAAGGTTCCTCCAATTGATAATTCCTCTATTTATTCGGACATGGAAAATGACAGACCAGGTTTTATACCATTGATAATTCCTCTATTTATTCAGACATTTTAAGAGAATTATCGTACACTCAATACTACATAGTACATTAAGAGCTGAAGAGTATTTGAAATCAAAATACAGAAACTTCTGATATACATAAGAAATGGATTATAATTGGAAGAACTTAAAAGTATTGAACTTATGAAAGAAGATGGACCGGGTGGAGCTGAGACTTCAACGGCTCCTTCGAGCATCAATGTGACTGTCTTCATGGTAGGTCTAAACGATGGATCCTTCTGAATGCACCAAATTGCTATCATCACATACTTCTCCACCATCTTCATGTCAAGCATTGCCTCATCGTTATTCTTGCATAGCTGATGCAACTTATTCTGCTTTTAACAATCGTACACCCAATCAACTCGTATCATTTGACCTTCATCCTCTGCCGCTGCCTCGAATGCTTCCTGCAGAAAATAATCTCTAACAACAAAATCCCGTAGCTGTAAATATCAACCTTGGCCGTGGTAGGCAACCTTTTCAACCATAGGGATTGGGATTCCAATATATCATGCATTTTAATCTTGCCTTGGTTGCTAAACTTGGATGGAGATTTGATTAAATGTCCTGATTCACTGCTGGCTCGAGTGTAAAAAGATAATTACTTCCCGAATACGGAATTTATGAATGTTAGTTTAGGAGGAAATCGTCGTGGGGTTGAAAGGGTATTATACAAGCACGACAAGTTTTGAAGGCTGGTTTGCATTGGAGAGATGGTGCGAGTGTGAGATGATCCTTGGCTACCAATCCTAAGGACATTTAGAGTTCAAACTGTGAATCCTGAAGTTCCCATGCAACAACTGTTTCAGCTGGAAGAAACTAAGGTCATTTTGGGTCTACCACTCAGTAAATTTTTGGTTGTGAGGTAGCTATGGAGATGCAGCAGAATGGGAATTTCGAAGAAAAAGAAACGGGAAACAAGCTCTATTGGGTTTAATGTCGGATCCTCTACTGAATTCTAAATTTCAGTGACAAAATACATATCACGTAAATCGAAGTAATACACAACTTTGCTTATCACCAAGGACTCAAAACCATTAAGGTGGTAGAGGTAGAAACCTCATCAGTTTGTGTTAGTGATTGTCTGACTAGTGTTGTGTGTGTCAATCAGGCATCCAAAAGATTGTGCGAAATCATTGCTTGTTAATGGCGTGTTCATCTTCGTCGATTTCTCTTGAGGATAATTAAGCCTGCAATTAATATGGAAATTTCCTGACTAATTTCTGCAAATTTATACAAAAAATTCCGCACGTAAACTTAACAAAGTAAGTGTGACTTTCACCAACAGATTACAGGAATGTAGGACGTGCCCCCCAAACCAAGTAAATCCAAACACAACCGTATTGTTCAAAATATACTCCATCCATTCCGAGTATGCCCTAAGCAGTAGCCACGCGGCGGGCTCCTTTTCTTTTTCTTTGCCTGTAACCAATTTAAGTTATGAAATATATCCATCAATGCACTCAAGTTTAGGGTATGGAATTGACACGCAAGTCCCTGTTTTTAGGGTTTCTTTGCTGCAAATAAAGTTTCAGAAATAAAATCCCAAACATAATAAAACATCAAATTTACCTCATATAGTCATCGTCAGCGAGACTAGGGAACTCGTCAAGCTTTCTGCTGCTTTCTGGCCAGATATTATAGACTGGGACAAGTGAAATGCACGATAATTAAGAACCCCATCTATCACTGAATTCCAAAGTTCAGACAGCCATATGTGTTTTTGACTGCTTCAGACAGATGGTTACCTCTGTAACCAATTTTCTTTCTGATGTCGAAAAGTGCTGACATACGACCACTGGGTTTAACACTACCAAAATATACGGTTTTCACTTCCCGAGTAATCCCCCATTTCACAACTATTGCTCCATAAGCATTCATTTCACAAGCCGGGCCATCAACGGCCTCAATAGTTAGATAAATTACTCTAATAGGAAGGCAGGAAAAGTATTCGTATGCCTCCACCAGTCTCACAAAATGCAGTTGAAGTTTCTAAAAAGGAAGCCATGCAGAACATTATACTTAGACAAGTACGCCATTAAAGATTACTCGGTAAAACAGAACATGCTAACGTAAGAAGTAGACCATCAGCTTTTACAAATTCGAATCTGAGTTTATCAGTTTTAACCTTTTTTTTGTTGACTGTGTTCACAGTGAAAGTGGCATAACTTTTCATCTCGGGACAATGCCGATATATTGTAGCGTAATACCCGACTGTACCCTGTTTAAATAAAGGCAAGAGGAACAAATTTAGCAGTATACAACCCTTAATTTTGGTCCTATATGCAAATGTGTTGTGCACTACATGTGTATGACAGCAGCGGTTGAATTTTGAATTCTATTTGCCACAAAGAAAGGGTAATAAACAGATGGTGCACGCCCTTATCTAGTGGTCTTATATGCAAATGCAAAGTTAGGTACTAAAGCTGAAGCGCAGTAGCGCACACACATTCTTATATACCTTCCCAATCAAATTGCTTCCTATTCCGAGAGGCATTCCAGCCCTGCAGCTAGCTGGAAGACATCAGTTGGCAGCCATATCATAAATCCAAAAAAGAAGTGAATTCCAATAGTACTTTCATACAACAACAACAACAACAACAACAAAGCCTTTTCCCACTAAGTGGGGTTGGCTAGATGAATCCTAGAACGCCATTGCGCTCGGTTTTGTGTCATGTCCTCCGTTAGATCCAAGTACTCTAAGCCTTTTCTTAGAGTCTCTTCCAAAGTTTTCCTAGGTCTTCCTCTACCCCTTCGGCCCTGAACCTCTGTCCCGTAGTCACATCTTCGAACCGGAGAGTCAGTCGGCCTTCTTTGCACATGTCCAAATCACCGGAACCGATTTTCTCTCATCTTTCCTTCAATTTCGGCTACTCCTACTTTACCTCGGATATCCTCATTCTCAATCTTATCATTTCTCGTGTGCCCACACATCCCACGAAGCATCCTCATCTCCGCTACACCCATTTTGTGTACGTGTTGATGTTTCACCGCCCAACATTCTGTGCCATACAACATCGCTGGCCTTATTGCCGTCCTATAAAATTTTCCCTTGAGCTTCAGTGGCTTACTACGGTCACACAACACGCCGGATGCACTCTTACACTTCATCCATCCAGCTCGTATTCTATGGTTGAGATCTCCATCTAATTCTCCGTTCTCTTGCAAGATAGATCCTAGGTAGCGAAAACGGTCGCTTTTTGTGATCTTCGCTAGATTGCTCCGGTCATTAGTGTGGATAAGTATATAAATGGATAGAGATAGGAAAGCAAACACAAGATGTACGTGGTTCACCCAAATTGGCTACGTCCACGGAATAGAAGAGTTCTCATTAATTGTAAAGGGTTTACACAAGTACATAGGTTCAAGCTCTCCTTTAGTGAGTACAAGTGAATGATTTAGTACAAATGACATTAGAGTACAAATGACATTAGGAAATATTGTGGGAGAATGATCTCGTAATCACGAAACTTCTAAGTATCGGAGTGTGGTATCATCTTGACTTGCCTTATCTGTCTCATAGGTAGATGTGGCAGCTTCTCTGGAAGTACTCTTCCTCCATCCAGGGGTGGTATCTTTAACTGATGGAGATGCACAAGGTAATGTATCAATTTCACTTGAAGCTTACATGTAGTTTCAGGCTTGGTCAAGCGCGATACAAAACCATGTAGTAGGAGTCCCCCAAGTCGCCGAGCTAGGGGATCTGCTGAAAGAGAGGTGACAGACAAGGTAAGCAATCAGAGCTCCGGCTGATTGTTCACCTTCTCCCCATCTTGCAGCAGCATGAAGGATAAAGAGAAGAAAAATGAGAAGAGATGATATGGGATACTTTTGCTTTTGAAGAAGTAACTTTCCATAGGCTTATTCTTGAACTGAGCTAGAGGGTTTTCTGGTTTCCTCCAGAGTATAAGGCCGACTGAATAATTTGAGGGTCAAAACAAGTCCATCAAATCTAGAGTACGTTCCACCCTGCTGATATGGGATACTTTTGCTTTTGACAGAGTAATGGATGTATCGGCACGTGTGCTGTTACGCTTGTCTCCACATGCTTCCTTGTATCCTTCGCACTTGCCCTATCTGTTCCTCAAGCAGATGCGGTATCTTCCCTGGAAACATAAGATGTTGAAGATGAGTACTCGAGAGCAATGCCAGGTAAGTAATCAGGTAAGGGGTTCCAGGCAGTCAGTTCCTGGCTGGGAACTTGATTTCAAGTGCTGACTGATTGCTTTCTTTCTCCTTGTCTTGCAGGTAAAAACAAGGCCAAAGGAAAAGACAGGGAAAAAGCATGATATGGGATACTCTTGCTTTTAACCCTGATGATATGAGATATTCTTGCCCTAGTATAGCTTGTTTGCAGAGGTATTATCGGGGGGAAAGAAAACTGAATATTTCGAAAGGCTTCGTTGGGAGTGCCCTCTCAGATATAAGGAAGGGTTGAGCATTTTTGCAGGTCTGCCTGTCCGTTGGGGATGGAGGTCGACATATATAGGAGTCTCCCTAACAACAAGTAGTAATGCTATTCCTTTACCCTGCTTGGTCATAGCACGGTAGTGGGAGCTGCCAGCTTCACATGTTTTAACTCTGTCATAGCACTTTGAAAAAGTGGTATGTGGTAACTGGCTCTCGAGATTCGGAGAACAATGCTTCTTCGATTTTTGAGAAAGCAATCATGTTGGGGGTCTAGCTCTCGAGATTCGGGGAGCAGTGTCTCTTCGATTTTTGAGAAAGTAATCATGTTGGGAGTCTGGCTCTCGAGATTCGGAGGGCGGTGCCTCTTCGATTTTGGAGCAAGCAATCTTGTTGGGAGTGTTTTCTCGGATGTGAGTAAAGGTTGGGCATGTTTGCTAGTCTACCTTGCCACGAAGCACGGAGGTTGACACACAGGGACTTTCCAATTATCCAGCAGTGGTACTGTTCCTTTACCCTTATGGGTAATAATATGGTAGCTAGACCTTCAAAATTTATGTGTCTAAACTTTGTTAGTGCTGTTTCTTTGCTATTCTTTTACCTTTCTTGGTCAGAGCGATGTAGTGAGAGCTGCAAGCTTCACATGCTCAACTTTGGCAGAGACTTTGGCAAAGTTATCTGTGGTACCCATGAGCTATTGTTGCGTGTGGGAAATGGGTGATTGAACAGTAAGATTCATGTGCTTTCTACTTCACCAGAAGTCTTCGACAGAATGCCCATAATTTCCGCAAAGCTGAGTGTGCGTGTGACAGGTGCTGACAAGGCTAGAAAAGTAGGTGCCTCTTCGATTTCTGAGATCGGCCCTCGTGGTCTCTGAGGAGCCCAGCTTTTGAGAAAGCGAGCGCCTCTTCGATTTCTGAGATCGGCTTTCGTGGTCTTTGAGCATCCCAACTTTTGAGAAAGCAAACACCTCTTCGATTTATGAGATCAACCCTCGTGGTCTCTAAGCAGTCCAGCTTTTGAGAGCAAACGCCTCTTCGATTTCTAAGCAGGCGCATCTTCGATGTCTGAAGCTCCGTCGAGTGCAGCTTTTTATAGGGGCTGGCATTAAGTTCCAAAGCACACTTGAATCTCCACCAGTAGAAGCTCTATTCTTGCACTTCTAAGATCTTGATTTGTCCGACCTCTTCTCTCTTCAACACCTTTGAAAATGTCTGGCCCCTCCGACCGTCGTTTTGACTTGAACCTTGTTGAAGAGGCAGCCCCGCCTTCTCCAGACAACATATGGCGCCCATCCTTCGTCTCCTCTACTGGTCCTCTTACCGTTGGGGATTCTGTGATGAAGAATGATATGACCGCTGCGGTGGTGGCCAGGAACCTTCTCACTCCCAAAGATAACAGACAACTTTCCAAACGGTCTGATGAGTTAGCTGTTAAGGATTCGCTGGCTCTCAGTGTTCAGTGTGCAGGTTCTGTGTCTAATATGGCCCAACGCCTATTTGCTCGAACCCGCCAAGTTGAATCATTGGCGGCCGAAGTGATGAGTCTCAAACAGGAGATTAGAGGGCTAAAGCATGAGAATAAACAGTTGCACCGGCTCGCACATGACTATGCTACAAACATGAAGAGGAAGCTTGACCAGATGAAGGAAACTGATGGTCAGGTTTTACTTGATCATCAGAGATTTGTGGGTTTGTTCCAAGGGCATTTATTGCCTTCGTCTTCTGGGGCTGTACCGCGTAATGAAGCTCCAAATGATCAACCTCTGATGCCTCCTCCTTCTAGGGTTCTGTCCAGTACTGAGGCTCCGAATGATCCCCCTCCGATGCCTTCTCTTTCTGGGGCTCTACCGACTGCTGAGACTTCTCCTAAGCAACCTTTGTGAAGGCTCCATCTTGTTTGTTTATTTTTGACTCATGTATATGTACATATTTGTAGCTTATCGGGGATATCAATAAATAAGCTTTCCTTCATTTCAACGTATTGTGTTAAATACACCAAAGCCTTCTTCGCTAAGTTCTTTGAATTTTCTTTTGTTGAAGCTTGTATGTTGAAGCTTTCTGAGTGGAGCATGTAGGTTGGGGTAGTGTTCCCTTAATTTTCCGAGTGAGGAAAACTTCTCGGTTGGAGACTTGGAAAATCCAAGTCACTGAATGGGATCGGCTATATGAATCTTAGAACGCCATTGTGCTCGGTCCTGTGTCATGTCCTTCGTTAGATCCAAGTACTCTAAGTCTTTTCTTAGAGTCTCTTCCAAAGTTTTCCTAGGTCTTCCTCTACCCCTTCGGCCCTGAACCTCTGTCCCATAGTCGCATCTTCTAATCGGAGCGTCAGTAGGCCTTCTTTGCACATGTCCAAACCACCGTAACCGATTTTCTCTCATTTTTCCTTCAATTTCGGCTACTCCTACTTTACCCTGGATATCCTCATTCCTAATCTTATCCTTTCTCGTGTGCCCACACATCCAACGAAGCATCCTCATCTCCGCTACACCCATTTTGTGTACGTGTTGATGCTTCACCGCCCAACATTCTGTGCCATACAGCATCGCCGGCCTTATTGCCGTCCTATAAAATTTTCCCTTGAGCTTCAGTGGCATACGGCGGTCACACAACACGCCAGATGCACTCTTCCACTTCATCCATCCAGCTTGTATTCTATGGTTGAGATCTCCATCTAATTCTCCGTTCTTTTGCAAGATAGATCCTAGGTAACGAAAACGGTCGCTCTTTGGTATTTCTTGATCTCCGATCCTCACCCCTAACTCGTTTTGGCCTCCATTTGCACTGAACTTGCACTCCATATATTCTGTCTTTGATCGGCTTAGGCGAAGACCTTTAGATTCCAACACTTCTCTCCAAAGGTTAAGCTTTGCATTTACCCCTTCCTGAGTTTCATCTATCAACACTATATCATCTGCGAAAAGCATACACCAAGGAATATCATCTTGAATATGTCCTGTTAACTCATCCATTACCAACGCAAAAAAGGTAAGGACTTAAGGATGAGCCTTGATGTAATCCTACAGTTATGGGAAAGCTTTCGGTTTGTCCTTCATGAGTTCTTACGGCAGTCTTTGCTCCTTCATACATATCCTTTATAGCTTGGATATAGCTACTCGTACTCCTTTCTTCTCTAAAATCCTCCAAAGAATGTCTCTTGGGACCCTATCATACGCTTTTTCCAAATCTATAAAGACCATGTGTAAATCCTTTTTCCCATCTCTATATCTTTCCATCAATCTTCGTAAGAGATAGATTGCCTCCATGGTTGAGCGCCCTGGCATGAACCCGAATTGGTTGTCCGAAACCCGTGTCTCTTGCCTCAATCTATGCTCAATGACTCTCTCCCAGAGCTTCATTGTATGACTCATTAACTTAATACCCCTATAGTTCATGCAATTTTGTACGTCGCCCTTATTCTTGTAGATAGGCACCAAAGTGCTCGTTCGCCACTCATTTGGCATCTTCTTCGTTTTCAAAATCCTATTGAAAAGGTCAGTGAGCCATGTTATACATGTATCTCCCAAAACTTTCCACACTTCGATTGGTATATCGTCTGGGCCTATTGCTTTTCTATGCTTCATCTTCTTCAAAGCTACAACCACTTCTTCCTTCCGGATTCGACGATAAAAAGAGTAGTTTCTACACTCTTTTGAGTTACTCAACTCCCCTAAAGAAGAACTCCTTTCATGTCCTTCATTGAAAAGATTATGAAAATAACCTCTCCATCTATCTTTAACCGCGTTCTCTATAGCAAGAACCTTTCCATCCTCATCCTTGATGCACCTCACTTGGTTTAGGTCCCTTGTCTTCTTTTCCCTTGCTCTAGCTAGTTTATAGATATCCAACTCTCATTCTTTGGTATCTAGTCGTTTATACATATCGTCGTAAGCCGCTAACTTAGCTTCTCTGACAGCTTTCTTCGCCTCTTGCTTCGCTTTTCTATACCTTTCACCATTTTCATCGGTCCTCTCCTTGTATAAGGCTTTACAACATTCCTTCTTAGCCTTCACCTTTGTTTGTACCTCCTCATTCCACCACCAAGATTCCTTTTGGTGTGGGGCAAAGCCCTTGGACTCTCCTAATACCTCTTTTGCTACTTTTCGGATACAACTAGCCATGGAATCCCACATTTGGCTAGCTTCCCCCTCTCTATCCCACACACATTGGGTGATTACCTTCTCTTTGAAAATGGCTTGTTTTTCTTCTTTTAGATTCCACCATCTAGTCCTTGGGCACTTCCAAGTCTTGTTCTTTTTGCCTCACTCTTTTGATATGTACATCCATCACCAACAAGCGATGTTGATTAGCCACGCTCTCTCCTGGTATAACTTTGCAATCCTTACAAGTTATACGATCCCCTTTCCTCATTAGAAGAAAATCTATTTGTGTTTTTGACGACCCACTCTTGTAGGTGATCACATGTTCTTCTCTCTTCTTAAAGAAGGTGTTGGCTAAGAAGAGATCATATGCCATTGCAAAATCCAAGATAGCTTCCCCATCCTCGTTTCTCTCCCCAAAAACCATGGCCACCATGAAAACCTCCATAGTTGCCTGTCTCCCTGCCCATGTGTCCATTTAAATCTCCTCCTATAAATAACTTCTCCGTCTGAGCAATTCCTTGCACCAAGTCTCCAAGGTCTTCCCAAAATTTCTCCTTCGAACTCGTATCCAACCATACTTGAGGTGCGTACGCACTAATCACATTGATAAGTTCTTGTCCTATTACAATCTTGATTGCCATGATTCTATCTCCTACCCTCTTGACATCTACAACATCTTGTGTCAAGGTCTTGTCCACGATGATGCCAAACACCGTTTTCTCGTTCTATTTGTGCCCGAATACCAAAGTTTAAACCCTGAGTTTTCTAGATCCTTTGCCTTGCTACCAACCCACTTAGTTTCTTGTAGGCACATAATATTTATCCTTCTCCTCACCATAACTTCCACTACTTCCATAGATTTTCCCGTTAAGGTTCCTATATTCCACGTTCCTAAACGCATTTTGCTCTCTTGAACTCTACCCTTCTGTCCTAGCTTCTTCACCCTCCCCCGTCTAATAGGATCAAAGTACTTCTTTTGTGTGTCCCGTGTAAAGTTGATAGGAGCATATGCTCCCAAACAACTTTGAGTGGAGTCGTTCGAAAAGAAGTTTCTACGGCCCCCTTGCTCATTTAACACTGCATCCAGGTGCCGATGGAGATACAGCGACCCTTGCTCACTTATCACTATGCTCGGGCCACACAGCGCGCCACTTACGGGTGACGCCCTAGCTTTAGCGCGATTTTGTTATGGATTCATTTTCATAAGGATTCGACGTGGTCATGGAGTGCCGGCTGTCGACTACCTGACGCCCTCCCCCTCCTCCTTTATCCGGGCTTGGGACCGGCAATAGTACTTTCATACCCAAAAAAAAAATATAAATAACTGGAGGTCAAAGAGTAACCATACATTCGCATCATACGCAAACCATAGACCACACAGAAGAATAAACTGTGAACTTCGTCAGGTCAATATTTGAAGTAGGGGAGCAAAACTAGTTTTAGGCTTAAAAGAATGAATGGCGGCCAGATAAGTAATCAGATCAAAGCTCGAATATTTATATAAAACCCTACGAAATCATACGACAGCAGCTGGTACACAGGGAGAAGTTAGGACGTGACAATGTGCTCTTTTCATCAAAAAAGACATCCAACATTCCATACCAACGACCTGAAAGGTCTAGCATCACGTGTGCATAGTATACAACATTATTTAATCCAGTGTTTAAAGTTACTCACCTGGATATCGTACATCACGCGCCAGTGCTTCCAATTCAGGACTAACCTTCTGTCCAGCTTCCTCGAGTAAGATGGTAAGTTCCTTTGCGCACCTAGCATTAGCAGTTGTAAAGAACGTGTATGCTGTTCCTTTTGGCTCAGCAAGGATAATGCGGTAAACATAATCATCAATGGATCCCGGAAAGTCGTAATTGATAACATATTTCACATTCTTCAGAACTGCAAATTAAGCATGAAACAAAGTGATTAGAAACAAGGCTTCGGGCCAGTTCACGGGTTAAATGCACTCAACAAAAATTGCCAGGTTGACAAACCTACACTCCCACAGTAACCAAACAAACCCTAGGTTACTAAAAGGGCAAGATTTTGGCAAGGGGGATGTCGACTAGTAAATTAAATAAAGCTTTCAACTGTGAGGAGATTGAAGAAGATATTTCTTTCTAAATAATATTATAATAGCAATAATAAAATTATAATAGTAAAAAGAGATGCAACTCTTTAAGCACAAGCGAAAAAACTTCTTTCAAGCATTTCATAAACTAAAAGAAATTCTATTGATACCTGGATCACAAGCAGCAACATCAGTTGCAATCATTATGGGGACATAGCCACCTTTTAACCCAGAGATAATTTGGACCCTTTCCGATTGACTTACGTTTTCATGAACCGAGACTGCGTAACCTTCATTGGAAAGCTTCTGAGAGAGGAGACTACATGATTCACATCCATTCTTTATATTCATGAATATCAGTATTCTGCTGCCATCTGCGATATCACCTAGCAAGCCTACCAATCTGAAAATTTGAAACAAATCACAAATGTAGATATAACCTCAAACTAACTGCACAAGATCAACCATTAGAATGTTCCCAACTTGTCATATTTCTGATCTTCAGCAACGATGTCAACAATTTGGACTATTGGATGTGTAGCTTTCAGAACTGGAGAACCTATTTCAACCTGTTCAACATCCAAAGATAAATTTCATAACAAGTATTGAGTATTACAACCCAAAAAATATGTCAAGAGCACTAACTATTGCCATCCCAAGATAGAAGACATTTTGTGACTACTAATAATATCCTGTTACAACAATTAAAAATGACTAAGTGATGCCAAAAAAAAAAAACAAAAAACAAAGAGTAAGAGATCTATTACTTTGATTGCATCGCGAAGGAATGGCCTGGCAAGTTCATCAGCCTCCTCCGGCCAGCTACTACCCCAGAACAATTTTTGACAGTCTGGGGGAATCTGTATACAGAAAACCCAAAATACAATTTTCAACCGAATATAAACTCTGAGATATAAACACACACACACATTGTGTGGGTGTGAGTGAGGGGATTTAAAAATGCTAAAGAGTTCAACATTTAAGAAATAACACCGCAAGTATGAAGAGCCAAGTAGGAGTAATATCTCAAACCTGAGAAAGAACTTCTTGTACTAGAGACTTACAGTCCTCGCCTTCTTCTGCTACGCCTTCTTCTGCTAGCATCCAATCAGCACCATCCACCACAAGGTATGTGACCCTTTGCAAGTTTGTATGACATGACTCTAACGCATGAAGCACGGCCTCAGGTGTGTCAATTAAAATTCCAACTCCTGAGCCAAAATATTAATTGCAATCAATAAGAAGAATAACTATATACTCAAACAAGAAGTCCTCCTTAAAGTCACCGGCCTACACAAAATCGATTATGAGTCATGTTACTATAACCAATGCCTACAACAGAATATCAAGGTAGATAATATCCGATAAATGAAATAGCATAGCAGTAGCACAATAATAAGAATACAATGTCAAACGTAGTTCATCACCAGCACCACCACCTACCACATGCCACAAGAGAATTTTTATAACAATCCAGTTCACCGCCGAGTAAGGCGAAAATGTGTGCTGCAGCAAATTTAGTACACTCTTGTTGGATTTGACGAGCGCGCTCACAGGTTGGAGCTAAAATCAATACTATTGGGCCATCTCCACAAGCTGAAGAAAAATTGTAAAATGGAAAACTTAATCCCGATAAATATAAACCAAATATATAGGATTCAAAGAGCCAGGATTTGATCATCTTAAGGATAACTAACATATAAAATACTCACATAGTCTTTTCTGGGATTTTACATGGACAATTGCAGGCAATAGATACGCTAGCGTCTTCCCGGATCCTGGTGGAGCAATTCCAATGAGATCACGGCCCTCCAAAGCCACTGGCCATGCTTGAGCTTGAATTGGTGTAGGCCTGACGAATCCAGCTTTTGAAAATTCATCCTTAACATATTCTACGATCAAGAGAAATCATTTCAATAGATATATGCATGTAGCTAGCTTCCAACACATAATACAACAAGAAGAAGGAGAAAACAAAAAAAGTAAAAAGTAGGTACCCGGAAACGGAGTGCGACCCAAAGTCCTGATGGGTTTTGGAACATTGCGGCTTGAAACAGTAATTCCCCTTAGCTGCCTATACTCTTTGACCCGGTGCCTACACTCTTGGACCTCTACGGAGGTAGTAATTTCCCTCCGCTTCGGCTTCCGTTGCCTTGTAGACTCCTTGACTCGAAGAAGAGTAGCAAATTTTGAGGTGCCCAATTGCACTCGCCCATTCCTAACTTTTGAGGTGCCTTGAGCAGCATCACCATCACCATCACCATCACCAACAGCATTCAACCCACTGAGTCTGAAACAAACAACACAAAATTATTAGGTTTTTCTTCAATCCCAAATTTTAGCAAGTTTAAATTCACATCCAATTGCCCATGCGAGAGAGATAGAGAGAGTCACCTTCTTCTTGTCCGAGAACGCTTCCCATTGGGGTCATTGGAGCGCTTCACCATATTCGAGATACCTTATGGCTTAAGGTAGGGTTTCGAAATTTTGGTACCAATCACCACCACGATGAGCGAATTAAATAACCGTGTAGAATTTTGTTTCGGTTTCGATTTAGGATCTGATCGCGGTTGTTCTGGATCTATTTGGATCGGGCCCATCAATTAATTCGGTCTAGTTCTATTTAGGCTCATCATTTGGACCTGGCACATGATCGAACCCCTGTAATTGTTATTTTATTTTGGAAAACATCTAACTCTTCAATTCTCTATAAAATAAAAGGAAAATTAATGAAAAGGGTTTGAAAACTTTAAGTTTTAACGATAAGGATAAAATAAAGAATAAAGTAAAACCCTAAACCCTAATCGTTAAAGTTCCCTAAAATAAAATGATGCTTACACCCATATATACAACTATTGTAAAACACGGTGTTCAACAAGTTAATCGTTCTCACACCTACACTTACCTTTTTATCTTTTATTCTGATGAGAAAAATACAGCGGAGGAAAAATATTGCATCCTCTATTGATATATCACAATCTAAGTCATCTTACCCGTATGGCAAAGGACTTCATTTTTCTTTTTAAGGACATCTTCAACCGAAAGGGCTAAGTATAGCCACGTTTACAATTATAGCCCTACAAAATATTATTTTTAAATGAACAGTGCCAAAGTATATTTATATACCATCTCCAACCGAAAGAGGCTAAACATAGCCCCTCAATAATTTAATATTTTTAAGTTTGTTCTTTAACTTATTGGTACTGTTACATGTTGGTATTGTTACATATTGTTTAAATTTCATGTTTGTATTGTTACATATTTTGTTAAATATTTTAATATTACTTGCATGTTAACAACTTAGACATTAAAAATTGTATGAAAAGAGTGTTTGAGGTGAACAGAATGTGAAAGTTTTGAATAAAATGAGGTAAAATAGTATGTACGGGTAAAAAGAATGTGAGAAATAGTGTAGAAATGTCATAGGTATTTATAGGAAAAAAATTAATTTTTTTTTTAATTTCGTCTGAAAAAAAAAATTAAACAGCAAGCTGAAGTTAGTTATTCGCTGCTGCTGATGTTAGCAGGCTAAGACCATCTCCAAACTTGGGCTAAAAGCCAAATTACCCCCCCCCCAAACACTCTCCAACCCATGTTAAAATTTTAGGCTAAATGCCAAATGTTATTTCTGGGCCAAATACCCCCCAGCTTTCCCCCGGGCTAAATGCCAAATGTTTATCGGAATTTAAATTTTTTTAGATTAAAATGTTCATAAAATTAATTTACAATAATCTACATATTTATTTATTTATTTTTAAAAATTGATTTAAGAAAAAAATTAGCCTAAGTTTATTCTTTAATAATTCCGGGCTAAAATTTTAGGACAGAAGGGTTGGAGCAGAAAAGATGTTTCTGAGCTAAAAGTCAAATTTTTCGGGCTAAAAAATTTGGCTTTTAGCCCAAAGATTGGAGATGGTCTAAAGGTGACAGATTGGGCCCCAACAAACGGGCTGGTAAGGGGGCTAGAAGTAGCCAGCCAGATTGCCAAAAGGTTATCATTTGGCCTGATGTGTTCCACTTGTTTTGGACCCAACCCTCTATTAAAGTTGAGTTTTTTAACAAATCGGGCTAAAGAATAGTCTATGGCCTTTTAGTCATCTCCAATAGAGATTGCCTAACATTCTTCTGCCTTGAACGGCCTCTCTAAACAAGCTCTTTTAGACCATCTCCAACCTTTGGGCTAAAAGCCAAATTTTTTAGCCTGGAAAATTTAGCTTTTAGCCCAGAAACATCTTTTCTGCTCCAACCCTTCTACCCTAAAATTTTAGCCCGGAATTATTAAAGAATGAAATTAGCCTAAATTTTTTTCTTAAATCAATTTAAAAAAAAAATAAATATGTAGATTATTGTAAATTAATTTTATGAACATTTTAATCTAAAAAAATTTCAATTCCGATAAACATTTCGCATTTAGCCCGGGGGGAAAGCTGGGGGGTATTTGGCCCAGAAATAGCATTTGGCATTTAGCCTAAAATTTTAGCATGGGTTGGACAGTGTTTGGGGGGGGTAATTTGGCTTTTAGCCCAGGGTTGGAGATGGTCTTAGAGAAAATCAAAAGCCTTGGGCTGAAATTTGGAAGCTTGAGGTGCCATCAAAGTTACAAAAATTTATATGGCAAATCTGCCACAATTTCTTAGCGGTCCAACATAATGAAGAAAATAATAGGCATCACTTTCAAATTATATGGGCATCCAAATTTACCTACTACAAATCAAAACTTCTCTCTTTTCACTAAACTCTCCTACTGTTCTCAATCTCCTTTAAGTTTCATCTTCTCCAAGCCCCACCCTTGCGGCATCACTTTCAAGTTATACGGGCATCTGAATTACTTACGTCTTTTGATATGCTCAACTGGAGGAAGCACATTCTTCTCCTTTCTCCAATTTAAAGTTCCAAACACCCTTGAGTCGTAAAGTTCCAAAACCCACCAGGACTTTCGGTCGTACTCCGTTTCCAAGTACGTACTTTTCTTCTTCTCTTCTTTATTATTTGTTAGGTTTTTCAGCCAAAATGATCATGAGATTTGTATAATTGCTCACTTTGATCTTTAAGATTTGAAATCAATAGAATTCGTTAATGAGTTTGTCCACAATCAATCATTGTGGTCCCTTTTTGAAAAATCTTCATAAAATAAGGATAAAATAACAAAAATACCCTCAATTTTTGTCAAATCATTTTGGCCTATTGTTTATTATATTGAGGGTAATTTTGTTATTTGGATCCTTATTTAACATAATTTTTCACCGAATGACCAAAATAATTGATGGTTGACAATTTCAGGGACCACTTCTATTGATTTCAAATCTCAGGGACTAAAGTGAGGATTTAGTAAAATCTCATGAACCATTTTGGCTAAAAAAACCTTATTTGTTATAATATATTACATAATATCATATATGTGATGGTTATTCTTTGTTGGAAGTTATCTATATATATTTATAGAATGATTTCTCTTGATATAGAAGAATTTAAGCTGGATTTGTAAGGCCTACACCAATTCAAGCTTAAGCATGGCCAATGGCTTTGGAGGGCCGTTATCTCATTGGTATTGCTCAACCAGGGTACGGAAGACGCTAGAGTATCTGATGCCTGCAATTGTCCATGTAAACTCCCAGCCAGTTATGTGAATATTATATATGTTAGTTATCCTTGATATAATCAAATCCTATCTCTTTGATTTGAATCATATATATTGGTTACATATTAATCGAATAAGTTTTCCATTTTAAATTTTTTCTCCAGCACCTGGAGATGGCCCAATAGTATTGTTTTTAGCTCCAACCACTGAACGGGTTCATCAAATCCGACAAGAGTATACTAAAGCTGGTGCAACTTCCGACATTAAAGCCTTAACTGTTAGATAATAAAAATTCTAGTATGGGAAGTGGAGAATGAATCTCACATTGATAGGAGTAGGAACCTTGCATAGGCTTATAAGTAGGTTGAGTTACTTTTCATATTGTCAATTGATTTTATGATGTAACCTTAATTTTCTTCATGGTATCAGAGCATGTTGTCTCACGTGTGAAGTCAAACGGTCACACGTGCTTCAAGTCATCCTATTGTGTTGTTGACATGTTAGGCTTGAAAATTCATCTAATAGAGATAGAATCCATATGCGTTGGCAGACCCTACCTCTATTAAAGAGTGATGGTACAATTAGGTGGTAAGTGTACCATTACTCATAGAGATGAGACCACATGTGTTGATAGGCTCTATCTCTATGAGAGAGGTGGTACAAATGTAATATGAAAAATATGGTAAGTATAGCTAGGGGTGATTTGGTATGGGATCCTAAATTGAAAATGGGATCCCGAATCCCAAATCGAAATTTTTCGAGATGAAAATTTGAAGACCAATACCAAACCAAAATTTTGGTATTCTCAATTTTCGGGATTCTCGAAATATTTTCGGTATTTCGGGATGATTTGATATTCCCAAATTTCATACAAATTGAAATAGCAATCATTCATACCAAGTTAAATTAACATGCAACCAAAATAAAACAAGTAACAAACCCAAAAGCAAAAAAATAAGTTACAAACCTTGTTTGTACCATACTTAGGGCCTTCGTATTTAGACCTCGTATAAATACTCGGAGGACTCAAATGTCATTATGCAATAAATAGAGGGGCAAATATGTAATAAAGGAGGAGCCCTTATTCTATAAAAAGACCATTCACTCTCCTTATTAAAAAAGGCCAATTCTTAGGTCATGGGAAGAGCTCTCTCACCCTCAGAAGCTCTCACCCTCTCATCCTCTCACAAATAGAGAAATACAATATCAGTGGCCCAAACATTGGGGTGAACCACAATACATCTTGTGTTCTTTACTTTCTTGTAGATTCACGGTCAGATTTATGTTGTTCCAAGACCCCTCCGATTTTGTGCATTAACATTTGGCGTCGTCTGTGGGAAACGACACAAAAAACTATGTCGGTTCTCTTTCATTTTCTCACCTCTGCTGTGAATCTGCAAAATCCAAGAAACCAAACACCTATAGAATGGCAGAGGAGGACCCAGATATTTAGGGAGATAAGGACCCAGATCTGCAAATCCACCGAGACAGAACCTCTCTCTCATCTCTTTCTCTGTGGAGAAAGCAAGCATGGTCTCAGCTTCTCTCTCCACTCATTTCGATGTAAATCCACCTCCTCCAGCTTCAAAGCCAGACCCTTCGAATCCTCCAAATGGACCCTCAGATTCTCCAGACCCTCAAAGCTCATTCCTTTCAAGGTTTTCGGTTTTTCCTCCCTCAGCCCAATTGAGAATGGCTCCGCCGACCAGTTTTTGCAGAACAATTCAATTACGGATTTCATGCAGTTCAAAAGGGGTCCCGATGGCGAAACCGGGGAGCTGCAGACAGGTCCTCCACGGACGAGCCTCACGCTCCTAGGCTCTGTCAGATCCTCTTAGTACCCTCAGATTAAGAAGCTTATCCCCACTCGTCGTCATCCTCCTCACTGACGCCGCCACCTCCGCATCCTTCTTCTTCTTCTTCAGCTCATGATCCCGACCAAGACG